TCGTGGCCCTGGGGTCCTGGGATCAAGTCCCGCATCGAGGTCCCCGCAGGGAGCCTGCTTCTCCCTCTGCCTGTGTCTCAGCCCCTATCCTCTCCTCATGCTCTCTCTCTCAAATAAATAACTAAATAGAATCTTTTTTTATAAAAACCATTGGGTAAAAACCAAGACTATTACATAAGCAAAAGACTGGAAACGACCAAAATGACTATCCATGAGGGGCTGGTTAACAAAGTCAAGGAAGACCCAACAATGGAATCTACATAGTTGAAACAAACAAGCAAAAAAAGAATCAAGAAGTTCTTTACAGTCAGATAATCAGATGTCCCAGAAATTTAGTGTTGCATGGGAAGTGGAAAGTGAAATATAGTGTGTATGGAATGCTCCCATTTGGGTAAAAAACTTCAAAAATACAGACATACGTGGATATACACATGGGCACACAGAGACATATTTTCCTGTATATTCATGACATCTCTTCACACTGAAAAACCAGTGACAGTGGTTGCCTCCATGTGGGGGAACCAGGAGAGGAGGAGAGATAAGGATATTCCATTTTGAATACCCTTTTGTACCTTTTGAATGTTAAACCATGTAAGTGTTGACCTATTCGAAAAAATTAAATTAAAAACTCAAAGCAAACAATGTGTGGAAGAGTAATAAAAAAATCTAGTTTAGGAAAACATAAGAGAGAATTCCTCCTTTAAAAAATGGTTTAAGGCAGCCTGTTGTTGAGTCATCTGTAAAACGTGAAGACAAAATCTGGGAGGCACCCTTCTGTGGCAGAAAGGATGCGGTGGCAGGGGTGGCCGCCCCTGGCCTTCCTGGATGACCTGGGAGTGGAGGGGCCTCTCTGACCCTCAGTCTCCTCCTTTGTGAAAGTGAGTGTTTGGACCAGCTCTTAGTGCAGGCCAGCCCTTTCCCCACGTGGGAGGAGGAGCTGGCCCTCGGGTGGATACACCTAGTTACTTGGTGACAATCTACTTTAAAAAGAAAAGATGTCCTTTAAAAGGAGAAAGAGGGACGCCCAAGGGCCTCAGTGGCTGAGCATCTGCCTTCGGCCCAGGGCATGGTCCCAGAGTCCCAGGATCCCGCATAGGGCTTGCTGCAGGGAACCTGCTTCTCCCTCTGCCTGTGTCTCTGCCCCTCTCTCCATGTCTCTCATGAATAAATAAATAAAATATTTTATTAAAAAACCTTTTTTTTTTTTTTAAATAAAAGGAGAAAGAGAGTGCCCCACCCACCACATAGGAGTCTGTGGCAGGGAGATAAAAACCTCAAATCCCTCCCTACCAGAGTGCAATAAAACCAATGTGTCTCACTTCAGGAGCTTAAAATACATTTGCAGACACACCCTTCCCTCCAAACACACCTGCTGCCTTTTTCTTTCCTCTTCCCACATCCTCTCTGGACAGGCCGAGTGCCCAGTTATGACAGAGCTGAAATATTTCCTTTTTTGTTCTAATATTTCCTGCGTGGACCCTCCCCTGTTTTATGGCTGCCATTCACACTGCCATCTGGGATGACCCAGGAACAAGAAGACGCTTCATGACTTAAAGACAATGAAAACATGTCCTTTTAAAAATAAATAAATAAACAATAATAATAGTCATGCTCGGCCACGTCTATCCCCAAAACACAGCGTTTACATAAAGAATCTAAGGCAAAAAGAATCACAAGGGCAACTGACTGGTGGTGACTGGGTCCTGGCATTGCTAGAGAGGCTTACGTGTACAAATTGTCCGGACAGAACTTTCTATGGATGCTTGAGAACGTGGGGCCTGGACATCCTCTCCATTGCCCTAAATTTCTCTCCAAGCCCCACCTCCACCCTCTTCCAACTCGGGAAGGCACTGAATTTATTCTGCTTGCTTTTTGCTCATGGGAACCACAAGGGTAGTAGCTCATTTTGCACATGGCAAAACTCAGGCCGGTGAAGGTGAGAGGGCTGCCCCGGGCCCGGGCTCCAGCCAGGACTCGAGGGCCTTCGCTTCCTCCCCAACTACTGGCTTTCCTGCCATCCTGTCCAGAGACCCGGCGCACTGCCCGCGGTGTGCACTCCCCCACTCCCAGCCTGGGGAACACCAGCCTCCCCAGACTGCTCCCCCTCCGCCCCCGGCCCAGGCCATGGGCCGACTGGGTGGACCCAGGGCCAGCTGAGCCCCCACAGTGTGCCTGGTGGCACCTGCAGAAACGGCGATCCTTTGGACAGATTCGGTTAAATTAAATGCATTTCCTTTTTCCTTCTGTTTCCTTTGACTTTTTTTTTTTTTTTAATGTGGCTACTGGGAAACTTAAAATTACATAGATGACTCGCACTGTATTTTTACCAGGCTGCGCTGCTCCAGGTCATATGGTCTTACCCGGTTAGCTCCCAATCAGCAAAACCGACCCGCCCTATGTGCCACTCTCTATGTGGCCAGACATTCTCTATTCTAAAGACCGACCCATGTCCAGGAGTGAAGGAGTAAAGAATGCACCCCTGCCAGCGACATCTAAAGCCTCAGGGTGGTTCCCACAAGTGTATCTCCCCTTCCATAGCGGGGACAGAGAAAGGGATTCTGGAAGTCCTCAGGTGACACAGACTCTACCAACATGAGCGGTGGCTTCCCTGCGGTCATCTTTCCTGGAGACAGGATTTTTAGCTCTTCAAGTATAGTGGTAGCTTGGGGAGGAAGAAGGATACAGTCTTGGACGTTTGGGTGCCCCCAACCTCATTCTTCACTCTCCTCCCTTCAGGTTAGGAGCAGAATTCACAGAACCCACGACTGACAGTGGCTTTCGTGGATGCATGCCTGTCTTTGCTAGGAGTCAGGCTGAGGGCTTTGTGTGGTGTATCATGTCCTCTCCTTTCCCACCCACCTCATGAAGTTGGTGTTCATAGTTTTCCAGATGAAGAAACTAAAGCTTTAAGAGATTTGACACCATGACCAAGGTGACCTCAGGAAAGCGGCCAAGCCATAAGGATTCAGGTCTCCTCAGTTCCAAGCCCCATGCTCCTCACCATCACTTGACTTCTTGAGGTCTCGGTTTCTTCACCTGTTGTATGGCGATGATACCAGCCAAGGACGGAATGGAGCCCTGGGACCCAAGGGGACCTGTCCTCCCCTAGAACTAGATTCTGGGCTCATGAGGAGCCGCCATTTTGAAGGGCCCCCAGCTCTTGCCATTCCCTCTTCCTGGACTCACGAACCCTTGTTGTGTCAACTCTGAGGCTGCCCACAGCCAACTCTCCTGTCTGGGTGCCCTCTACTTCTTGCCTTCAGGGAATTAGGTCCCTCCAGTCCCTTATATCAAGACTCCATCTAAACATCACCTCCTCCAAAAACCCACCAAAACTACCAAGTCAGAGAACTGCCTCTCATGTGGCCCTTTCCTGCTTCCCAGGATGTAATGATCTTCTTCCTCATCCCTTCACCCCCAGCGCCCTGTGCTCCCTCCCCAGCCAACCTCAGTCCCAAAAGAGGCCCTGACATGGACAGGCCTAATCGTGGTCCCTCCTCCCACAGGAAGGATTCTGCGTGGCAACAAAGCCCCCAGGCTCCCGAAGAAGCAAAGGTTGTCTCTAAACAGCCATGCCCTAAACACACTGAGCCAATGACATGGGTTCATATTTCTCAAGATTCTCCTGCTCTTCTTATTTTGGGGTCAAGGAATGATCAGTTCATGCGCTCTGGGTTCATTTTCTTACAGGTGTGTAATGGTTAAAGTGTGACATGTGACTTGAGGGAAGGTTACACATCTATTAAAATACATTTCTAGAGACCCGGTGGCGCTGGGAAATGCAACTGAATGCTCTGTAAGGAGACATAAACCGGAGACGTAAACACCATAAACCAGTAGCTCCTCGCCTGGTGACCAAGAGAGGCCAGGAATGAGAGGTCCCTTCCAAAGCACATCCTCCACATGCTGGAGGCAGGGACTGTTCTCCTCATTTAAACTCCATTAGGTAAAGTTCACTAAAATCTTCCCCATCAATGGAGAAGATGCGGAGAATAGATTTTCTTCTAAATATCAGTGGTTCACAGTGGGAATGGCTCAGGCTTCTCAGGAGAAGAAGCCTTTCTGTTTATTAAGAGATGGCCTGGGTTGACAGAAGCTCAGAAAACAATGTTCAGGGGGATGGGCGTGTGTGCGTGTGCGCGCGCGCGTGTGTGTGTGTGTGTGTGTGTGTTTTGGCGGGAACAGAAAAAAGACTGGAAGGAAATGCACCAAGATCGGGGTGTTGTCACAGTTTGGGAGTTTAGTTTTACAACGTTTCTACATTTTCTGAATTTTCTACCTTGACTCGCGTTGCTTTTATAATCAGAGAAGGAGCAGTAAACCGAATGCTAATCGTTTTTTAATTTCCTCAAGAATCTGTTTTTACAGGCACCATTTCAGTGGGGTTTGGAAACCAGCAGGGTGTGAAGCACAGATGAAATCCCCCATTCCTGCAGGGCTGAGTGTACCCCTTGGCCCTGAAGAGAAGCCCTCCCTGCATCCACGCTGGCAGCCAGCTGTCCACAGCTGTTCTGAGGAGGCAGCAAATGAATGGTGCTGATGGAAAAACACAACATTCCTGACTCTCCAAGGATGGCATTCTGCTTGGAACCCTCGCTCACCAAAGAAGTAAATAAACAGAGAGAGAGGTGGCAGCCAAGGAAAAGCCAGAGGAACTTCAGTCCTGGAGGTGGGTCAGCTGCCTGGGCCCCTGACTCCTCACACGGCATCAGAAAAAGGAGCCCTGTGCCTAAGCCAACCAGCCCTGTGGAGTCAGGGCTACCACCAGCTGCCTGACCGTGCCCCCCACCCCCGGCTGTGCCTCGTCAGGGCCACCTCCCCTCCTTGCCATGAGCAGAGCATCTGGGAGCAGGTTTCACTCCTGCCTCCAGGCTGAAGAGGTCCCAAGGTTGAGGCACCTGGCTGGTTCGTCGTCACAGAGCCCCAGCACTCACGGGCAGACCCACTCATTTCCTGGGGCACCACTCCCTGCCCGGCACTGTTCTGGGGTGGGGAAGACGATGGGGGACCAGAACAGGCAGGGCCCCTGCCCTACCGGAGCTTACATTCCAGTGGGCAAGACAAGCGATAAACAAGAAGAGAACCAAGATCGCATCCCAGACACAGGTGGGTGCTGTGAAGCATCTGACAAAGGGAGGAAGGTGGGGGGACCTGAACGTCCAGGCCAGGGACCGGATGGGGGGAGATCAGAGGGAAGGAGCGCACCAGATGGAAAGAACAAGCGAGGACAAGCGCGGGAGCATGATGGTGTGCTCCAGGAACCACGGGGCCCAGCAGGTGCTGTCCCGGGAGTGGAGGGAGTCGGGAGGCAGGTGGGAGCCACAGGAGGGTGAGCGAAGGAGCAGCCCACCTGCCTACTGAAAGGAAACCCGCTGTGCATGCTTGGTGAGGCGGGACTGGGGAAGGGCCACCGCTGTCCCCTGCTCCCGGCATCGGCATCGCTGGCAGCACCGCAGCCCACCCACTGGGTCCAGGGCTCCTCTCACATGCACTCTGATCCTGCCTCCCCGCCCTCCCGACACCAAGGAACCCTGCTGATGGCAAGGAAGAAGCAACCCTGACCGACGCCCACCCGGCCACCAGTGCCCCCCCCCCACCCCGGCACTGGCCTAGAGAACGTGTGCAATACCCAGGACAGTGCTGCATGCTGAGGATGTGACAGCGAGCATCCCACCAGCCTGCCCGTGGGAGCCCCCCGCTTGTGATGCCCGCGCCAGGCTCACCGGGCACCGCCGTGGTCCCGGAGCTGCCCCCCCCCCACCTCTGCACCTCGGGCCTCCCGCCTGCCTTCTCTCCCTGGCGAAACCTGCTGCAAGCCCCTGGAATGGTTCCGATGGGAGGATTAATTCAGTGCGAGGAGCTACACAGAGAGATGAGCACTGTGCCTCGCTGCTTCCCCCACAGCCCACCCTCACTCTTCCGACCACCAGCCCAGGGAGGAAACATGCCCCACTGCAGCGACAAGGCTGTGACCAGTGGAATGGCAGATACTATTTCTCTGAAGACAACAGAGGACTCGGGTGTTGGTCCTAAGAGTGCGGAAGGCAAGGGGAACTGTGGGGGGCTGGTCCAGGGTAGGGTTGGGAGGGGGGCAGCGGGGAGAGCCCCACACCTGCCCAGCCGGCACCACACACGACCGCCTGAGCACACGGTCAGGGGGAACCACACGTGATACGCCACTTTCACAATCTCCTCTCGCATGAAAATCACTGTTACCGTTATGCAGAAAAGCCAAGGACCCCCACTTTTGCAGATTCTTAAGTTCTGCTCTGTGAGATCTCTGGGGTATGCTTCATTTTTCTGCAAACAGTGGCGACGGGGGTTGGCGGGAGAGGTCAGTGCCTGAGAAAAAGTGCACACATAGAGACTCTAGGAAATCTTTGTATCTTAAAACCTCAGAGCAGCTCAAGTTCCCCAAAGCCCTCCTGGGGGGCCTCTTCTGCACGGGTCAGGGTTCGCACCAATACCCACCATGCAGTTGGGTGGCAGATTTCTTCCAGTAGGGCACAGCCATCCTGGGGAGGAGTCACCACAGAGGGTGGCTCCAGACCCTTGAGTCTCTTCTTCCCAGGAGGGGAGGAGGGGTTATAAATAGCCTGGACTCTTTCAGCCCTCCTCAGGCACAGATCCCACACCCCCGTCCCAGCCTCAGCCAGCTGGTCCCTCCTCCCCCAAGTTCCCACAGCCTGCTATAAGAGGGAGGAAACGGCTCACCCACTGTGGGGGTGGGGCAGAAAGCCCTGCCGGGCCCCCATCAGAGCTGGTGGCCTCCCATCAATTATAACCATAAGCCCGCCACACCTCCGCACCCTGCTGCAGTGGCAGCACTGGATAGAGGCAGGGGGCAATATGATTAGGGGGGCCTCTTACCCACCTGGCCACCCCAGAAACCCTGAGCTGCATGCCCAGAATGTGTTAATGCACCGTCTCCTCTCTGCCTCAGCTTCCCCACCTGTGAGATGGACAAACAGCGGAACTCCCTACCATTGTGGGGATGGCCGTGACCTGAGATACACGGAAGCCAAAAGGCACGGTCTACTGTACCCCTGCATTGTCGTGATGACGTCAGACCTTGGTTTCTCCCACAGGAGCCCAAGCACAGCTGTGGGGACACTGATTCTTATCTGTTCACAAGAGCAGAAGAATTGTATTTGGTGGCATTGGCATTGTGTTAGCCTCGAATTCTTGATACCGCGTGCCCTTGTGCAGCAATAAAACTTACAAAACATTCTCTCTCACCAGACATTTCTGACTAATACAGACTGGCATACACCGCACCCAGACGTATTTTGATTTAATATGGTTCCACTGGACTGCACACGACAGTGGATCCCAAGGATGAGCGTTGCCCTAGAGTATTTTGGTGGGGGTGGGGGTGGGGGTGGGGGTGGGATGGGGTGGGGGTTGGGAAAGCTCCCAACCATCATTCTGTTTACCATTCGAACCATTCCCATCCATACACACTGGTAAGAAACAAGTGGCTAAGATCTAAGTGGCCAACTCCTAGTTCTTTTTAATTAAGACACTTTGTTTGCTCAATAAAATACGGCATAAAAAACATTTACTGAAAACCCACTCATTGATGTCTAATAGCTGTGTCAAATACTCATAACAACATTTATTCCAACACCCCCAGATAATTGCTCATCTTTCTCATTTGGTATCCACAACAGCACAACATTTGTGTCCAAGTGTAATTGATCCAGAATTGGGCTCCCTTTCAAAAATATCTGTAAAACCTAATTACCAGGAAAACAGAGTTCTGGCATCCTACGGAGAGAGGGTGCTTCACAATGAGACAAGCTGCAAACTCATCTTGGCCAATCAAGCTGCATTATGTTACAAAAGGAGTTTGAGGAATCTGGGGTGAGGAGGGAGCAGGAAAAGTTGGAATAGAGTCAGACTGAAATCTTCAGTGATAGTCCTCATTTTTTTTTTTTTATTTTTTCAAGCCAAGGGCAGAGCATAGGAAATATACCACATTAGTTGGCAAGCATGGACATAGAAAGTACCAGATAATGACCTCATGGTGGGCTCGGGGTGTGGGGTGGCATCTCGGACCTCAGGCCCTGCGAGGCCTTGCTGAGGGAACTGCGTCCACCCTGGCCTGGGAGGCTGATGTCGTTTTTTTTGTCTCCCAGGATTATAACTGCCGTGGCAGGTCACTTTCCCTTGGGCCTGACGCTGCTCATCTGTAAAATGAGCGTCCCTCCTATCTTTGGGGCATCTTTGTGCTCCAAAATTCTGCGACCTTTTCTTTGAAAGCAAAGGGCACGCTCTCTACTCAGGTACTCTGTGGGGTTGGGGGAGCAGGGAGTGGGTGCAGGGGCAGCCGGGATGAAGGACTCCGTGTTTCCAACCAACTCTCAGGCATTTCTGTGCAGACCTGCACCAGCTGGGTCTCAGACCCATTCCGGGGATAAAGATTTCTTTCAGCCCAGGGCCGACCTACCAGGGTGGTTCTAACCTCCCTCGCTACCCTGGATTCGACAGCAGGCCAATGGGGAGCTGGGCCAAACCGCGGACTTCTTGGAGCCTCTCTCTCTCTCTCTCCTCTCTCTCTGCACATCTTCCTCTTCTGAGGCGTGTTCCCTTCCCACCTTCATCTTCTTCTTTCTGCCCCGAGAGGCCCCGGAAACCCCAGGCCCGGCCCCGCAGGGGGCCCGGGGGAGCTCTCAGGGAGCACGCCCCTCCCGACGCCCGGCTCCCCGCGTCCCTGGCCCCCCCCCCTCGCCTAGTTTGGGTGTCGGCGCCCACGGCTGGTTTCAAAGGAAAAGCGCTGCTGCCGCTTTGCTTTTCTTTGGCTCCTCCTAGCCCTCCGCCTAATGAAATCAGACAAGCAGCCCGAGCGGCACAGCAGCACGGCGGCCAGCGACCCCCGGGCTCCAGAGGAGCAAGAGACGCGCGCGGCTGGAGCGAGGGCGCGCGGCTCCCAGGCAGAGGCCCTGCGCTGCCCGCCGGCGGGGGCGCCACGGGCGGGGGCGCCACGGGCGGGGGCGCCACGGGCGGGGGCGCCACGGGCGGGGGCGCCACGGGCGGGCGGGCCTGGGCCCCGCCGTCCCGACGCACGGAGGGCCCCTGCGCCTGAGCCCATTTCCGCAGCTCCCCAGCCGACGGCCGCGCGGGTCGGAAGGGCCCGCGGGGGCGCCGGCTCGGGCGGGGGCCGCCACGAAGCCGGGAGCCGCGTCGCGAGTGCGGGGTCCCCGACTTTCCGGGCCGCTCCCCAGTCTTCAGGCGGCGCCCGTGTGCCGTGCGGATGCCGAACGCTCGGGGGACCGTCACTCTCCAGAACGCTCCGCGCCCTCCCCGCAGAAGCGCGGCAAAACTTTTGGCAGAAACCACCTGTGGCTGCCGACAGGCCCGGCCCGGCCCGGAGGCGCCGCCGCGCCCGGGGCCGCACGCGCCCGCACAAGTTCCCCGCCACCCCGCGCGCCACTTCGCTCCGGGCCGCGGGGCCAGCCAGGAGGCGCGGCGCCCGCTCGCTGGCTCGCTCGCGCTCCGCCGCTCTCCCCTCCTCCGTCCCCTCCCCCGCCGCCTGCCCCGGTGGCTGCCGCTCCGAGCCCCTGAAGAGCCAGCGCAGCCCCCGGCCTCCTGCCCGCCGCGCCGCGCCGCGGGCGCCCCCGCCCCCGCCCCCGCCCCGCCCCCGCCCCCGCCGGCGCCCCGGGGCGCGCAGCCCGCCGGCCTCCTAGCGACAGCCCCGAGACGGCGCTCCGGCTGCGGCGGAGCGGAGCCACCCTGCCCCGGGAGCCCCGGGAGCCCCGCGACCCCCGCGACCCGTGCCCCGCCCCGCCCCGGCCGCCGAGGTGCGGCGGACACCGTGACCCCCACCGCCGGCGCCCGAGCGCGGCGCGCGAAGCCACTCACCCCTGCGCGCCGCCGGCCCCGCGCGCCTCCCGCACTGGGCGCCGGGCCGCGGTCCTCGCGTCCTCGGGTCCTCCTCCTCCTCCTCCTCCGCCGCCGCCGCCGCCGCCGCCGCCGCCGCCGCGGTCCGTGCCGCGGTCCGTGCCTGGGCGCCCGAGCAGCGCGGGCCGCGCGCTGTCAGAGTCTCGTGGCGGGGCTGCGCCGGCGGGTGTGGAGCCGAGCGGCGGCGGCGGCGGCGGCGGCGGCGGCGGCGGCGGCGGGCGCGCGGGCAGCTCCTCCCTCCCTCCCTCCCGCCCGCCCGCCCCGCCGCGCCTCCGCGCCTCCGCCCTCCTCGCGCCCCGCCTCCCGCGCCGCGGCTGTCAGCCCCGCGCCCCGCGCCACCCGCGCCCCGCGCCGCCCGCGCCGCCCGCTCCGGGGCGCGCGGGGCGGAAGGGCCCGGATGTCTCCGGCCGCCTCCCCGGCGCCCCCTCCGCGCCCGCCACACTTGCACTTGCTGCGCCCCGACCTCCTCCCCGGCTCCGCGGAATTTGTCCTTCGACAGTGACTGTAGCGGGGGGCGGCGCGGCGGGGGCGCCCGGGGCCCGCGGAGGCGGCGGAGGCGGCGGGCGGCCGGCAGGACCCGGCGCGGGGGCGGAGTGGGGGCCGGGCAGAGCCGCCAGCCGCTCGGGGCTTTTTTCTTTCTTTCCTTTTTTCTCTCTGCCTCCTCCAGGATTTAAAGGGACAGCCCCGGCCGAGGCGAGGGGCCCGGCGGCCGCCGTCTCCCCGGTCTCCAGACGCCCTCTGCGGCCGGCCGGACCCGCCCGCGCCCGGAGCACCGGCTCCCGCCCGCCGGGTATTTTTAGGTCCCCGCCGGCCCGGGGCCGCGGGGCGGCAGAGCTTGGCGCGCTCGCCCCGGCGCACGGCTATTTTTACGGAGTCCGGTCGGGGGAGGAAATAAAACGGCTCAGCAGATGCTTTCCCACCCGAAAGCAGGGAGGGAAGCGTGAGGCGACAAGTTTCCCCAGTGCTCTCGGAACTCCCGCGACTCAGAAGGCGGCTCCGACGCGGGAAGCTCTGGGCTCGCAAGCGTTTTGGGGCGCCCCATCCCCGTGGGAAACCCCGCGCCAGGGGCCGCTCGGACGCGGGGTCTCCCCCCCTTCGCCGCGCGGAGGCCCCGCGCCCCGCGCCCGGTGCGCCAGGGACCGGCCCGCGGCCCCGGGTCACTGCCCCGAACGGCCTTACGAGGCGGCCCGGCGAGGCATCCGATCCCCCAGCTACGCGGCCGAGGGGCGGGCGGTGGGAGGCTTGGCCCCGCCCCGCCCCAGGCCCCGCCCCGCCCCAGGCCCCGCCCCAGGCCCCGCCCCGCCCCAGGCCCCGCCCCCAGGCCCCGCCGGTCCGGGGCTCGCGGGAGAGTCTAGGTGGGACCCGCTGCGCCGAGCGGTGACGGGCAGCCCGAAGGGCCGGTCCCGGGGAAGGGGGTGGGGCGGGGGGCCTCGGCGCGGAGGGACGGTGAGGCCGCCGCCAGCCGCCCGGGGCAGCCAGGGGCTGGCTCTCGTCTCCACGCTGGGGCCCGCACCCCCTGCGCTCTGGGACGTCGGCCCCCGGGCCGGCCCGGGCGCGCCCACCTGCGGGTGTCAGCGGGTCCTCTCCGGGGCTCCTCCGTCAGGTCCGCCGCGGCCAAGCTTGCGGTCCTCAGGCTCCAGCTTGGGGCTGAGCTTCCCCGAGCCGCGCCGGGCGTCCGGGACGGCGAGAAAACACATCCCTTCCTCCGCGACCCCTTCCTCCCCGTCCCTGTTCCCGCCACTGATGCAAGAGCAGCGGGGCCGCCGCCGTCTGGGTAATGTCCTCTAAGTGGGAGGTACTCTAGGGCATCCATCACAGGAGTCACGAAAATAAATTCGTGGACCTTTTGCTTGGCACTGATTCCGAGGGTCGCTCACTGGAATTTTTATTTATTTATTTATTTTTTTTTTACCATTTCGTTCGTTGTGTGCTAAATGCACGTTGTTAGGCACCACGTCGAGGAGAGGAGGAAAACACTCTGGAACGGGATGTGACGCTGGACAGCAAGGTGCACACATGAAAGGGGAATCTGGGACATGGGGCTGTGCAGATCATGCTTCATTTGCCTGAGAGACCTGACTTTTCCTAATAAGTAAATGTCGTTCATTAAACAGTTTGAATAACAACCGCATCCAAACTGTCCAAAGGCTTGTCTAGGGAAGTCAGTCTTAGAAACAGAGTTTCAGGTTCAGGATATCAGATCTCCAAGCCCTAGAAGCCATCACCCTCCTACATTAGGTTGTCACGCTCCTTTCCTTTCATCAAAGGGCCTTTGGCAATTTGGGGTACTGCTGACCCAGCCGGTGTGGGGAAGCTTCTAAGCCAGAAGCATGGGGGGCGGGGAGCTTCTGGGGAGTACCTGAGGATCTCAGCCCTGGAATGGCAAGGCACCCGCAGACGCAGACGCAGACGGTAGGACAGCGATTCTGGGACTGGGGGCAGCCACAGCCGTGCGAAGGGTGTTTTGTTTGACAAAAGAGGGATTTTGCACTAAATTAGAAATGTCTCTAAATCAGAGAGATTTTCCTTCTCTGGGTACAGGTGGCTCCAAGCAGATGTTTTTGCTTTGGCCACTGAATGGCTTTCCATGCCATGAGCTACGGGAGGAGGGCTCCATGTTCCTGACAGTGAGCCTCAGTGTTACTGAGCCTAATCGCACAGGCAAAAGTTTTATAAACTGAAGAGCAATCAGGATGAGAATGGTCTGCATTGGTGATATTATATAGAATGTCTTTGAAGAAAGCAGCTATTATGCCACCTTTATGATTTTTGTTCATTTGATTTTTTTTTTCCCACAAGACTTTGAGCTCCTTCCTCGTCTTGGCATCCTCAGTGCCTAATACACCTACCACTTAATAGGTGCTCATTAAAAGACTAATAAATCAAATGAATGAAGCGTCATTTTAGAACGGTTGAGTAGCTGGTGGTAACACATAAGGACAGAGATCCAGAGAACGTTGGAAGAGTCGTTGGCAGTTTATTTGTCTATGTGTAAGTGCAACGCGTGGACTTTGCCATAAGTAATGGGATTTACAGGCTCTTCTACTTATTAGCCATGGGACGTAGAAAAGCGTGTCACTCATCTCCTCAGTTTCCAAATCTATAAAAAGGGATAATAATGGGAAACTTTCAATCCCATAGAGAGAGCCTGGAATGACCAGATGAGAAAAGCTGCGGGCAGGTGTTGCCCCGTGAACAGCATGCATTAAGGAGCTACTGTGCGTTGAGCATGGTGGAGTACGTTATAGTAAATTATCAATATTAGTTGTCAGGACAACGTCATAGAAATGATCAGAGAAGTGGGTTCCAAGTTTTGCCTATGTCCCAAGGATAGTGAAGGGCTGGTTCCAGAGAAGGGGGAAAGGAAGGGAATAAGCATTTACAGAGCTCCCTCTAGAAGCAGAACTCATGACAGGCGCTGTTGTATGTGCCTCCTGACCACCATGCGAAATGTATTTCGTGATCATTTATTGATGAGAAATCTGGAGTCAGTAGCAATGGTGAGGACCAAGGTCCCACAGAGGAGAAGTGATTGATGGAGGCAGTGTTGGGACCCAGGTTTGTGAGTTCAGGAATTCGCCTGCATTCTACCCAGCCGTGCTGCCTCTAGAGGAGAAAGAAGAGGCTTTGAGGAAGTCAAGGCTGAAGAGAATTATAAGATAACCGTGGTCCACGTCACCACGAGGCAGGGTAGGTCAGGACCCAGTCTCAGTGGAGAGAAACTTCCTGGAAGAGGTGGCACATGACTCAGTCCTTTATGTTTGGATGGTTTACATCTCCCTGTTTTAATTTTTTAATAATTCCAGATTTTCAGAAAAGTTAGAAAGCTAATACAAAGGATCCCCATCTGTCTTCACCTAGATTCCGCAAATGCGAACATTTCCCATGTTTGCTTTATCTTGCTGTCTCTCTATATATGCATAGTTGTCCTAAACTGTTTGAGAGTAAGCTGAACAGATGATGGTCTTTTACTGATAAAGCCTTCAATGAAGGTTTACCAACAATTCTTACATAATTAAAATCGGGAAATCGCCTTCGATAGTATTATCTCATCTAAACCATTCCTAGCTATCGCCAATTATCTCATTCATGGCAAAAATGAAAGACATAAATTCTGATCAGGATTCAATCCAGGATGGTATATTGCATTCAGTTGTCATAGCTATTAGGAGGTTATTCTTATTATTAAAAATAAATGTTATCAATTTTATTTTCTTCTTTTAAATGGTCATATGTGTAATGGTCCATATGGGGTCATGAAGACAATCTCCTTGCTCAACCTTTACACAGGTTCCTCTGAGCCCTCCTTCTGGTGAGGCCTCACCCTTGGGCCCCATCTTCAGCCTGCCAAACCCAGCTGTAGCAAGAATCCTGCTAAGTCAGTTTATCCCCCCACCCTTGATTTCGGATCGCCCCAGCTTGCCTGTAGCAAGAATCCTGTTAGATCAGTTTAGCAAGAATCCACCTACCCTTGATGTTAATGATTTTCCATCCACTGACCCCTACCTTTTCTTGGCTACAAATACTCACCTGTCGTGGTCGGGCCTGATCTCTCTCCCCTGTTGCAATACCCCTTTTGAGTAGTCTCGAGGAGTCTTACTTACCACTTTAACAAGTGTTAGAACAATTTCTTCTTTAACAGCACCAAAGAAAATATAGAAAAAATTAAAACCCATCTGTAATTGCCCACCAGATATAACCTTAATTAATCCGTGGTTAATTCAAATGTACTAATACTCGATTTCTTTTTAATGTACATGTGTAATCCAAGCACACAACCACCACCCCCTTCCAGGGGCCAGCTTGCCCTAGAAAATATCGAGGATATACAAGTTCTATTTATCATTCCTCCAGAAATTCTTCCTCCATGTCCCAGCTTGGCCATAGCCCACCTTGCCCATTAGCTCCTAACCCAAAACCCCAGTTATCACCTCCCTTGAAAAAATGCTGCAGCCCCTAATAGCCCTAAGAAGAAGCTGATGTGGGCAAGCCACACCCTGCATACCTATCTCTTTTGTTTGCAACATGAGGGCTTACAGAACTCTACTAGCTAACAGATTTGATAAAGCATTGCAGTAGCTCAAGAGAATTAAAATGTGAGACTGGGGACCCCTGGGTGGCGCAGTGGTTTGGCGCCTGCCTTTGGCCCAGGGCGCGATCCTGGAGACCCGGGATCGAGTCCCACAGTGGGCTCCTGGTGCATGGAGCCTGCTTCTCCCTCTGCCTATGTCTCTGCCTCTCTCTCTCTCTCTCTCTCTCTCTCTCTCTCTCTCTCTCTGTGACTATCATAAATGAATAATAAAAAAAAAATGTGAGACTGGACAACCAAAACTGCAAGAGATGACTTACACCACATTTCAGGGAAGAGCCACCAGGTATTCAACCCTCCACAGCGGGTCCCTTGAAGGTGCACCTCGCTTCCAACCTGGCGCCAACTTTGTTCATCTACCCTTCAGTATGACTCTCCACAGGAAAGCCTAGACCCTGACCTCAGGGGATGGGCTTTCCCTGGGGCCTCTCTCCCATCATTTTCCCAACATATAGTTCACAAGCCTCGGTTGGTCAAGACATCTGTGTGACACTCTGGGGTGGTGGTAGTTGAGTGGTCACCAATGGGGCTCTTCAATGACGGCCATTGGCATTCCAAGTATGGCGGAGCAGCTGAGCAAGCCAGGGCAGGTGAGGTCCGCAGGCAGTTTTAGCCTCCTTCAAGATCTTCCCAGCTGTCTGAGTTGCAGGTGTGCGAGTAATTGTTGAAGCCAGTGTGCACACATGCACACTCCCACACACATCTTCAAAGACAATTCTCAGAGCTGATTCAGTCTAAATCTATGAGGATCAGAGAAACAATTTGCTAATTACCTCAGATTTTTCAAAATGCCATTGTATTACTTCTCTGCAGTTAGTATATCACACATACATATTATATAGTATATTATATATATTATTATATAATAATACTTTTATGCTTTTTCTCCATGCCCCACTCCTTGAGTTTGTATTGTCTTCATGCCTCATTCCTCTCCTGAGAATTCCCAGGTGGAAATCACTTAGGGCCCCCGCACCTGGAATTTCCCTTAGTTAGCCAAGCATCAGGTCAGTGCTGTGCAATTATCCTGAGGATATGATTTAATTGAGAGCCCTCACTCTGTTCAGAGGCTGCATGAAAGAAGAGGACTGCTTTTATTTAGGATGTGCAGGGCACGAGGCAAATATTTGTTGCAAAGTGCCTGTCTACACAAACAACCTGGTTTCAAAATGCATTACAAAATCCATGGCCCATGTGAAGTATAGTGACTTAATGATGGAGATTTAGAATGATGGGTAGAAAAGAGGTATTTACATATTTATTTATTGTTTCATCAGTGCACATAAAGACTCTCCATAGGGTCCAGGCACCCTCTCTTCCTGTTCAAGTCCAGAATCCACTTTTTCATTTTCTTTCATGTTCGCTAGCGCCAAATATACCGTTCTTAGCTTATTTCATATTCTCCACCCTGAGAAAAGGTGGTAATGTCATTAGTACTCATAATGCCATGTCTCTTCAGAACCTATTTGTGTTGAAACAGTGCAGTTCTTCTTGCCTCTGCAATTCCCTAATACCATGGACTCACAGCATTGCATCATCCATCCCGAGGTCTGTGAACACTGGCTTCCAATGACTCTCAAAAGCTGTTACTGTGCTTTGTTGATGAGGACTTCATGTTAGGCTTACCCAAAATATGCAGGCAAATGTGAGCCATCATTCACTTCCAGATCATGTTAAATTTCCTGTTTA